CTTTATTTTCCGGACTGTACTCATCGGAGTCCACCAATCACATGGTTCGTTGTCCTTAGTGGTCTGCGATGGATCGAAACCTGGCACGTTTGAGGCCTGGGAAAGGTCTTCGAGGCCTTGGGTACCTATCCCTATGTCCATATCTTCTGCTTCACTCATAATCTCATCCTGTTAATTGAAGATATAAATTATTAAACGCGGTATAATAAGTACACAAAGTACATTAACAAAAACATAAGCATAGTTTGTCTAGCAATTACACATAGTTCCATTATCTTACATGTACCACGACAAGTTATCTTACATACCACGACAAGTTATCTTACACACCGAATTACATAAACATTGCATAAATACTAATTCCATTATCTTACATACCACGACAAGTTCACAGACACATTAACATTTGAGAGAGAGTGGTGAAGACTAGTTGGAGTTTCCCATGCTTACCAAGCGTTTGGACCTCCTCGGAGATGGCTTCATAGAAGTTGTCTTGCTAGTTGAGGGTTTGGTAGGAGATGGTTTGGTAGGAGAAGGCTTGCTAGGAGAAGGCTTGCTAGTTGAGGGTTTGGTAAGAGATGGTTTGGTAGGAGAAGGCTTGCTAGGAGAAGGCTTGCTAGGAGGAGGCTTGCTAGGAGAAGGCTTGCTAGGAGAAGGCTTGCTAGGAGAAGGATTGCTAGGAGAAGGCTTAGTTGCTGAGGGCTCTACCTCTGTAGCATCTACGGTTGCATCCACGGTTGAATCCTTAACCGACCCTCTAAGCTCAGACTGTAATTTCTCAAATCTTTCACCCATCTGTTTCTCTAGCCTCTCTTCCATTGCAGAAAAATTCTGCTGAAACAACTGGGCCACAAAGCTCTTCATACCCTCATTAAACGGCGTCTGTTTGGCGCTAGAACAGAGAACCTTTTGCTTCCTTTTTTCCATTCCACGATCCGGGAGCCTCTTCTTTCCCTTTCTACCATCGGAGTTTGTGTTCGCTGTTCCTCTTGGAGTTTGAAACTCTTCATCACTCCCATCTTCTTTATCATTCTTGGGACCATCTTCATCAGTTTTGGATCCTTGCTCATCGTTCCCCTGATACTCCATCATCCTCAGATACTCCATCAGCCTCTTCTTGCTTGTCATTAACCCCAAAAGAAAATTCTGGTGTCTCTTCGAACTCCCAAATATGGTCACTGAAGTCATGCTTCTCGGCTATCATCCTCATGACAACCTTGATTCTATCATCCTCCACCTCATCAGCTCTGTAGAATTCATGACTTTCAATTACTACACAATTGCCTCCCCAAGAGATGTATGGATAGATGACATCCTACACAAGAAAGGTAAACAATGTTACATACCACAAACTCATATCAAATCGGATGTAGTCATCTTAAATAAATATTTACCTCGGGTGTAAAGATGTTCTCCAACTGGATGATCTCCCCGTATGAAATCTTTGCAGCTCCTCTCCAGTTTACACATCTAGGACCGTTCATAAAATTTTTGTTGAGTTTTCTTCCACAGAGCTTTCCAATCTTTGGTACTGCTTCCATGGCCCAAATCTGAAAGGCGTAGGAGAAACCATCTAACACGTAACTGGTAGTCTTCTCCTTCAGTTTCTCACGAATTTTACCTATTGACTTGCATAGAATTTCAAAAGCAGCAACTCCCCAAGGATAGTTTCGAAACTTCTCAAGATCCATGACCAGCTTCGCATACTTGATGGGAATATTAGCCTTCTCATCTCGGCCGCAAACCATGGTAACAATGATGCACAGATACACGAGTCTGATTCGATCAGCATTACTCCACTTCTTGACATCTTGCTGGTGATTTTTCCACAGGTCCAACATACAAACACCCTGTTTTCTCCTAACCACTGTGCTCCAAAAACCACCATCATCTTCCCATTCAACCAACTCCTTACGTGAGAAACTAGTTTTGCACTGAAGCCCGGTTACTGCATGGAATTCTAACAACGAAAACCGGAGTGGTCTCCGTGCAAAGGTAAACCACAGCTCATAGTCTTTGTAAGTCACCAGCTCCCTACACAAGAAACTGTGTATCACTCTCGCGGAGTAGCCCAAACCGTTCTCGTAGAGCTTAAAAATCTGAGCAAATAACGGATCTTTCTTCACTTCTTTCAACTCCTTTGGCAGCCATCCCTTTAACCTATCCATGTAACATACCATCCTGCAGTTGTTATTGATCTGAGTCACTTGGGTCTCCTCACCCGCCTCAATAAGCCGCTTTGGTAACTCCCCAGACATACCTAGAATCAAAAATAAAATAATGCAATGAGAGCACAAACAAAGAAATAAACAACAATGTAGTTTTGCTTGTACAAATAATGTTATGAAACCAGAAACACAGAAAAGAACAACAATGTACCTTTACTTCTGCATAATTTAAAGTGCACGTTCCTATTACTAAGATTTCAGANAACCAGAAACACAGAAAAGAACAACAATGTACCTTTACTTCTGCATAATTTAAAGTGCACGTTCCTATTACTAAGATTTCAGAGAACACCATTACATTCACAGAACAACATCACATTCACAGAACATTACTCTCGGACAACGACATAAACTAAGCTCTCATGACAATTACATTCACAGAACATTACTTTTGAACAACAATAGAAACTAAGCTCTTGTGACTGCTACATGAATAAAAGCCATTTTTTCATTTTTTTCCCCCTTTCAAGCAAACCTAAATAGATACTCTACAAATCGGGTCTAAACAAGTAACTTATAGTTTAGTAAATCAACCAAATCGGGTCTAACAAATAAACCAAATCGTGACAAAAAATATTAACATGCATGACTCAATATGACTCGAAAAGAAGCTTAATCAACCCATATAGTAATTTTACTTTAACAAATAAACCAAATCGGATTTAAGAAAATCTAGGGTTAACATAATCAAAAGAAGTAATCTTTAACCTAGTGAGATTTTGATGAGAATCTTGAGATAGAGTGTAAAAGAACCCTCCGACGAAACTCGTAGTAGGAAGAAGAAGAAGAAGAAGATCGGAAAGTCGAAATCTATTCGATTTGTATCTGAGAACAAAGAGAATAAGGAGAAAACAAGATTAAAGAGCAGAAAATCAATGATAAACGAGTAAGAGGAGAAAAAAAAGCATGACTTACCCTAAATCGCCATTATCGCCGTTTGAAGGACTCGGGGAAGAAGAGAAGGGGGTGAAATTAGGGTTAGTGCAAAACGATGTGTTTTATCTATAAGTCACCTTTCCTGTTTTTTTTTTTACTTTGTTTATTTTCATTTTTTATATATTTCGAAATTGAATTTTAATTATGTAAATTTAAGGGTATAATGGTATTAAAAAAATTATAAATCCTAGTTAACTAAAAAATCTTGTACAAATCTTAGTTTTCCAAATCCTAGTTTGAGATGTCTTTATTTCCCAATTTTCTCAATACACATACGCTCAAACTGCATCGCGTATTGCTCAATAATAGATAGATCTTCCTCCAGACCAGTGAAGTTAAACCGCGTTTCAATTCCCGCTGGAATTTAATTTGAGACCGAAACCAATAGGAAACAAAGGGTCATACAAGTCAGCATCTGCGTTTAGCGGCAACTGTTCAACGCGTTTGAACCAGCTCACTGGTAACATCCCCTCAAAGTCATAATCTCCAAAAATGACATCAGCCATCCCTTGCCCTTCGCTTCCAGGTAGCCAAGCAGCAATCAGAGCCTCCGTCTTTTCAAGAACCTTTGGCTCAAGAACCATAGGCCGTCCTGAGAACAAGATCATTAGAGTTTGGATTCTCTCTGCAACCGCGGTTACAATATCGCTACCGTTGAAAGGTATTATATGTTCCGAGTTATCTCCCCTCGTCTCTGCATATGGTGCTTCCCCGACCGCAACAATTGCGTAAGAGAAGCCTTCACTCGAAGCTAAGGTTTCTTCTGAAGGAGTTTTTTCAAAGATCACTTCGGTTTTGTCTCCAACTGTTGCTTTAATAGCATCCAGAAGCGTTGTGCCTAAAATTTTAGACCACAACAAATAAGTTAGGATTAGTTTACCAACAAACATTTACTAGCCTATGCGGTTGGAGAGCTTTTAGTTACCGATTGTGATCCTGCCGCTTAGACCGAACCATGCCTTTGTCCATCCTCCACACTGGTATCCAAGATCATCCACGTGCGTTCCAGTGACTAGAATTCTTTTGGGATTGCGATCTAGTGGCAGAAATGGTTTATTAACATTTTTGCCGTTCTTTAGCAGAACTAAAGACTTTCTAACTGCTTCACGCCCTAATTCTCTATGTTCCTGAAATCATGAAAAAGAAAAATTCAAAGTCAATCATATTCTGGACCCTAATAAAAATTTTGTCCAAGAAAACTCACCTTGCATCCAACAGTATCCAATAAAGACCGGTCTGTGAGTGGATGTTCGAAAAGACCAGCTACAAACTTCACTCTGAGTATTCTTTCAACAGCATCATCAATCCGAGCCATCGTTACTTCCCCTGACTCCACCAGAGATGTGAGGTCCTCTATAAACCTTTCGTACTTGAAGGGCACCATCACCTATATAGCATTGATTTAAATGTCACCCCTCATTCGTTGATCTGAAACAATGAAAATCATTAACTACTAGCAGAAGTTACCATGTCCAGTCCAGCATTGATTGAGATTTTGAGGCTGTTGCGGAAGTTTAAACCCTTTGGCTTGGTAAGCCGGTCCACAGCTTCCCAATCTGAAATGACAAATCCCTGGTGACATGAGCAAAGGAAACAAGCTCAGTTCAAAAACCTTTGGTTTACTTAGATATATGTGGAATATTCAATTTATAAAGTTTTAGGCTGACCTTGAAACCAAGTTTCTGTTTGAGAACCTCTGTCAAGAGGAAATAATCAGAGTGGAGTTTACTTCCGTTCCAACTAGAGTATGAGGCCATAACAGTAGACACTCCCTGAGCAATACATTTCAGATATGGAGCGAGATGTATTCTCTCCAACTCTTCATACGACACAGTAGTGTTCCCTTCGTTTATGCCCTTATCGGTACCACCATCTCCAACGAAGTGTTTTGCACACGCGACCACATTGTTTCTATCACACATTCAACACATACATGAGAAATTACATTAAAGCTATTAAAAATAAATATATACATACCTTCCTCCAAGAAAAGGGTAACCACTAGGGTGTTCCTTGGGTGGCTCCCCTTGAAGGCCTGAGACAAGCTTTGTCAGCTCACATGTAATTTCATGATCTTCACTGTAACTCTCATAGGATCTCCCCCATCTCGGATCTCTTAAAACCTGTCAGATAAAGTGTATCTCTTTCACTATATTGTCTTTCATATCTACTTGGTTATCTTGCTAAACTTCTTTGTATAGGATACTCAATGCAAAAGCAAACTGTTTCTCTTGTTTGACATAATGATATATTGGAGAGAAGCCAAATAAAGCATAATTTCTAAACAAAACAAAAATGTCTAAAGTCTTCATTCAAGCAACAAAAACTTGAAAAGAGATTACTGATTCACCAAAAATATTCAACACTAAATCCTCATCATAAGAAGCTTGCATTGATGACAAAATCCAATAATACTTAAGCCGATCATGGAGTAGATCCTAGTGAAATTAATTATCTCACTCAGTATCTTAACTAACACCTATAAGGAACTTACGGCCACACATGGAGCAAACGTCCAGCTAGCGCCAATGGCCCTTACTTCAAGTGCTGTTGCAACCCCAATTCTTCTGATCAAGTCTGCGTCTCTGCCAAAATACCACAAGAACTACCCGTGTTACTAAGGTTGAACCTAAACCTAAATCTTTTACTCATGTTCAAAGTAAAAGAGGATAAGATTCAATAAGTAAACAAAAAAAAAACCTGGTGGCTCCGAGTCCAATATTGTGGGGAAAGATGATGGCTCCATAGACGTTGTTGTTGCCGTGAACGGCGTCAATGCCGTATATAATAGGGATTCCCAAACGAGTCGCCAACGCTGCGTTTTGGTAACCATCGATCATATCCGCCCAATCCGACGGCTTAGCATCCTCAAACGGCCAACTTCCTCCACCACTCGTTACACTACCTTTAACCCGCAAATCCATTCATACTTTTAGCATTTTTATAAATTTCAAAATGGACAAACATGTTTTTTTGTTCACATAAAAAACAAAGAAATGGTACGGTGTTTATACCAATGAAGGACTCTGTAATGACAGCATGAGTAGTGACTCTGCGTTCGATCTGAGTCATCTGACCGATCTTCTCTGGCAAAGTCATTCGAGAGAGAAGGTCTTGAACACGCGCCTCAACTGGAGCGTCTGGGGTTTTGTAAATGCATGATTCTTCTTGTCTTTCCATACTCTTTCGTTCTGCCCCCTTCTACTACAAGTTTACTTCTTCAACCTATTTCTTTTTTTATAGAGCCAAGAAAATATCGCATATTAAATTTGGGTAGCTATTATATTGATTTGGTTTCGCGATATTGTATTATCTTGTTTCGGTGATACCTTTGGTGTGATTGAATGTGAAACTGTGAATAATATTTCTCATGCTCTACCATTTTTTTTTTAGTGTTGATAATGGCTTCTAATACTTTTGAAGTGCTAACATGGATTTGGTTGTACAACTCGAAGTTTAATTTGTACTTTACTTCATGTGATGTAAGTAAAACTTCAGATGATTGGCTCATTGTTGATTTTTAATTATTGCTGTTGTTTTTAATTAAAGAGCTGAGCACCGGTGTCAACTGATCATACAATGGTCATTGTTTAAGACTTAAGAGTAAAGAGGAGTCAAGTTTTGCCCCAAAAAAAAAGAAAAAGAGGAGTCAAGTTACTTGTCAATGGTCATTGTTTAATAATAATATTTGACGTTTTCGAAAATACAAAGTTGTTTGTTTGTCAGTTGATTAGTATAAATTGTTTAATAATAACATTGTCATATTGTGCCGTCTTTTTTGTTCTTGTCCAAATTGATACTAATATTTCCTTAACAATTTAATGATAAAATTTATTTGAATTAATTATTTGAACACAAAAATTAAAATTATTAGGGTCAGCCCGCCCTACAGACGGGATATAATTTATTTGTTATTTAAATTTATTTTTTTGTATGATTTTGTAGTATATATTTTAAGTTTTATTTGTAAAAAGTGTGTAAGATAAGAATTTTTTTGTCTTTCATAAAGTTGTAAGTGAGGAGAGATTATATGTTATAATACATATTTTGCTTGTTTACAATATTTGTTTCTATTTTATAGAATTGTGGCATTAATATGTTCTAACGGTTTCAAATAGTTTTCATATTGTTTCTTTTTACAAAAAAAAATGATTCTATATTTGGTGTGTTATTTATAGCGTGTAATATTTTGGATTCAAAATGTTTGGATTGTGGGTAATTTTATGTATGTTATAAGTGTAATTACTTGCAAATATATTGTTTGTTTTAAACTGAATATATCACTATATTTCCTTATATCTGTCAGAAACTCTTATTACTTATTTTATTAACATCTCTTAATTTATTATTTAAAAACTAAAATATTTATGGAAACTAAATAACTTTTCTTTGTTCTCAATATTTGTTCTAATACTTATTAAAACATTATATACGGATCATATATAATCATTAAACGTATAAAATAATATAATATATATTATTTAAGGTTTTATTGTTATTTTTTATTAAATTTATTCTGTGATATCAATTTACATAGCTCAATATATTATGCATAAGTTTTATGTTAATTTATATGAAAAAAATATTTATAAGGTATTACTCGTATTTTTATAGATCCAATAATTTTATGTAGTTCATATATCTTATATATATGTTTATTGTTAATTTGGTATGAAAAAATGTTCAGAAGATTGTTCAATAAGTAAATTTATTACTTAGAGTTTGACTAATTAAATATATTACATACAAACTTTAGTACAAAATATAGACGAAATGTAATTGATCAAAAATTATCTAAACCATTACTCAAAATAAGTTCCAAAAATATATTTCGTACTAAAGTTTGTATGTAATATATTTAATTAGTCAAACTCTAAGTAAGAAATCTACTTATTGAACATGTCCCAAAACACGTTCCTTAGTTGACCTTCATCATCTATATTCATCACTTAAGTCTCCTCTTATGTGGACCACCGGTTAGAAAATATTTGGGTTTGTCAAGTGCATACAACAAAACATAACCATGAGCTCTTTACTCTAACCAGAAATCCAAATTGCAGTGTAGCAGTTATAGTAGTTATAAGTTATAATCATCATCACATGACTCAAACTTCTACAGCAGCTGGGTTATAAACATCTCTCTAACAGGTTAACTAATTAGTTCATCAAACTCTCTTGTTTCTTGTCCTTCTTCTTCTTGTTAGCTTTTTCTTTGTTCGCTTTCACTAAATCCAACATTGATCTCATAGTTACTACCACAAGCCAGAGTTTCTCCAGTCCTACTTCGTTAAGTGGATACCAAACAACGTCAAAGCTGGCGTGTGTGACATTCCACCTACAGGAATCAAAATGGCTTCTATATATTCCGTCTAGACAAATGAACAAATAAGAGTACCATTACCTGGAAGCTAAGTGTTTGTGTTGGCAAGACCAAGCATCTCACTGTGATTTTGGAACCGGAAAGATTAAACTCCTATATCAGAGCAGACGGTTTGGGGACATCATCGAAAGAGGTTGAGTTACTGAAACGGATCAACATAAGGAGTCTAGCAGACCGTAATTCTAATTCAACGTGTAACTCGAAACCGGTAGGGAATATATTGAACCCGCCTTCAGATTAGGCCTGTGAGCAGCAAGGTTGACATCCACGGTGGCCTGAAACATTTGATTTAGAAAGAACGATCAACAAACAAATTAATATTTTGGAAATTTTGGTTAAACGATACAGTGAACAAACAAATAAATGATCTGGAGAACTTGGTAAAATGATTCATCCCGACGGAATGTTCAACAACATAATTAAGGAAAAAAACAAAATTTAGAAAAATCAACAATCGGTTATAACTAGTTTTTGTCAGACAAATATCTAAACATAAAAAACTGTTATTATGGATTTGTAGAGTCAACTTTTTAAAAAATATGAACTGAATCAGAGTTTTAAAAGTAACCTGCGAATCATGTCGAAGTATATCTACTCCCGTGAGTTCGTCACCCTGACGAAGGACGTTCATGCCTTCCCAAAAGCGGAGCAACTGGACTTGAACGGTTGAAGAGCATTGTCTGGTATTCGTCTCACAAAGAAAGATCGGTGCGTTAGCCAATTTCTGGATATAAGATTATTGGCTTGGTTAGAGGGTGTGAAAGATGGTTGCCGGATAAGAAAATCTTACCTTTTTTATAATCGAAGTTCCACCGCCTTGCATGAAGAAACTCGCATTCAATCGTGCATAATGATTTAAGAAGGACTTTAAGATGGGAAATCTGTAACTGTTAGAGATTGTTAGTAAGAAGCTGAATCAACTCTCTCAGGCCTCTGGTTCTGTCTTGATATCAAACGGAGGAGACCAAACTTAAGATCCACCTCAAAATCACACCACATAACTCAAAGTTCAGATTTGAGGAGAAGAAGATACACCAAGCATCACCCGTGTGAAAGTTCCGCTTTAGGTAGGGAGAAAAAAAAATCTGGGCCAAAAACAATAGAAAAGCCACAAAATAAGGAGAAAAGCCCAAATATTTCAGGCCCAAAATATTGGCGCTGACGTGGACTTAGTGACGTGGATCATAGGTGACACACTTTAGGAGAGAAACATCTCTTTATATAATAGATTCTATTAATATTTAAAAATGTTCTATTATAATGTTTATTTACATGTAATGTTTTAGATATAAAATACTTAAATTTTTTTGATAAACCCTGTAAATATTTTAAAGCTCACTATTAATCTGCAATATGTTATTCTTTCATATTTTTAATACCCCAATAAAACTGATAATTTTTTATTAAATTAGTTAAATAGCTCATACTTTTAATATTAAATAAAACTGATTTTTCGTAATTTCTTTAATCAAAATTTTCTTGTTTTGAAAAAAATGAAACAATGGTAATAGAAAAAAAAACAAAATCTATTCATTTGTCGATCGATATGGCATAACGTCATCGATCAATATTTATATCGAACAATCGATCGATACTCATTCAAGGTCATCGAACAATAGTTCTTGATCCGAGATCCAGTAAGAGTTAATTCTTCAAATCCTTAAAAGTTTGAATTCAGAACTATGAATAATAAAAACCCTTTATAACTTGCATGTTTGTCATACCTGAGAAAATACCTAAGTTTAACTACCTTCTTTCCTCTTAACAAACAAATCAATCAATCAAGCAATCGCTTGGTTACCTTTTAAGTTATTGTTTTAAACCTGCTGTCTAGCTTTATTTCAAAGACTAAATAATCTGTTGTGTAATCCAGAGTCTATGTGGATTCGATCTCTAAGTACTACAACTGAACCTCTTATTTGAGAGAGTAATTCACTCCTTAGGGTTAAATATTTGAGTGATATCAAATTAGGCGCCGTTGCCGGGGACTCTTTCTTATTACCATTAGATTTAGTTTAGAATATAGTCTAGATTTTATTTTCATTTACTTAATTATTTTTCCTCTTTCTCTGCTGTCATAGGGAACTCAAGATGGAAATGACAGATTTCGGCCAAGCATCGACCGATGACATAACGCACACATCGAGCGATATGTTGACCGAGGAATCGATCGACATAATCCAACCAACATCGATCGATGTAACCCAGCTGGAAGCAGGTAAGTCTTTACTTACCAACCTAGTTAATGAGGAAGTAGTCCAAAACGAACCATTAGGTCAGTTATGCAATGAAACAAAACAATTTACACTTAAACAGGGGACTGCAATCCCTGTCAAATGTTATCCATCTTCAACTGAAGATGCAGAAAAACTGCAAGACTACTTAGACCCCATTAAGACCTATTCCAATAGGTCAGCTATTAAGTTACCAGAGGATGAAGCAAATAAGTCTACGCTTCATCTTGACTACATCCATCTAGTACAAAAAAATCCTTTCTGTGGTTCTGCACGAGCACATCGATTATCTGGAAGAAATATCACTCGACGATAATAATCGTTGTATACTGTTCCCCTTCTCCTTAGGGAGGGAAGCCAAAAATTGGTTAAATCAAATACCAGCGGGATCTTTAACCTGCTGGAAAGATATTCGCACTGCTTTCATTAACCAATTCTTCGATGAGACTCGACGCGAGATATAAACTCTCCACATTCCTTCAAGGCCCACGAGAATCTTTCAGAAACGCTTGGATTAGATTTAAGAATCATCAGCGAGATTGTACCCACCATGGTTATTCAAAACC